CAAACAGGCAAACTGACAGAAACAACATTGAAGAAAGTAAGCCGTTACGAGATAAAGGAAGATCTTCTAACGCCTAACTAACTAACTAACTAACTAAAAGACAGGAAATGAAGGGTAAAAGAAATGATCAGTTTGGCAAAAGATCACCAGTGGCATTTCAGAGATCATAGTGAAAGCCTGTTTTGTTCAACATAGTCATAAAAGATCAAGAAAAGACAGATGACAAAGCTTGCTGTCATATACTGCTGTTCTACATTATACTGGTATATTCAGGGTAACAATAGAGAAAGTTTACTGCAAAGAGTTACAGAAGGATCTCGTGATATGGAATGCCAATAAAATTTTAAGCAAATAAAAATTCAGTACTGCTAAATGCAAAGTGATGAACATCAAAAAACAATCGCAGCTCAGAATACATAGCATGGGGCTTTGAAATAGCTATTTTGAGTCTGAAAAGAGATCCTGAAGTTTCAACAGACAGGTCTCAAAAGTCAGTTGACTGTTCAGCACCTGTCCAAAAAAAAAAAAGCTAAATGCAAAGTGATGAACATCAAAAAACAATCGCAGCTCAGAATACATAGCATGGGGCTTTGAAATAGCTATTTTGAGTCTGAAAAGAGATCCTGAAGTTTCAACAGACAGGTCTCAAAAGTCAGTTGACCTTTTCAGCCCCTCCCAAAAAAAAAAAACCAAACCAAACCAAAAGATGGGAATTATGAAGAAAGGACGGAACAAAACAGAAAACTGAACTCTACTGTAACTGTGCCAGTTCCCAGGACACCCCCGGTACACCCGTTCTGTGGAGCGTTGGCCATCCCAAAGGATTCAGCAGAACTGGAAAATATTCACAGAGAGGTGAACAGGATAATCAAAGATTCGTAAGAGCTTTTTAAGGGAGGGAGACTAAACAGACTGGGATGGTTTTGCCTAGAAATGAGCCAACTGAAAAATCAGACTAACATGAGGCACTGTCAGACAAAAACATAACTAAGGTAATTGCTTCTTTCGCTATAGAGGGCTTATGCCTTGAGCAATGTCCATTGCTTTCAGTAGGAGCATTATCAACAGTGTGTTATTGGTCAGTATGAACAAATACTTCACAATATGCATGAATAATCAATTAAAAATTCTTGTTAACTCCAGAAGGCATGGCACAAACGGGGAAAGAAAGAAGTACGAGTATTTTATGCAATATAAATGAGCCCTAAATTTCTACAGGGTAATAAACTAAGAGTACACTGAGTGGTTTAGAGCATGGAAGAAAATAACTGCAAAAGAAAATACAGAGCTGAAAACGGTAGTAAGAACAATATGTGAATGTATTAAATGGCAGAAGAGGAACACCTATTGCAGAATTACTGACATCTGCACTGACAGAAGGATGAAGCTGATAAAGAATGCAAGAACAGCCAAATAGCTAGAAAGAGTTCTGGACTGACGAACATGTCCAAATACACACAACTCAAGCACCAGCAGGAAAACCAGGGCCCACGCCTTTTTTTGTTCACACTTTGCTACTCACAATAGGGTCCTCAGCAACTTGCATTCCTTCACCTACAATAAACACACACTGCTGTTGTGGAAGGTTCTTTCTGCGGAAGGTACGCTCACCTCGCAGCGTACTGCAGCGGGGAAGCAGCTGTCAGAAGTTTATGCTTTGCAGTAACGTTTCAATGGCATCAGCGTAATAAAAATCTCATTAGAACATTACTACTAACAGTAGTTGTTTTCTAGCCATATTGTGGTGATATGCTTTATTCTCCATGTTATTAATAATGAGCTAATAAAAACCATAAACCATTTTTTTTCTGGATCACTTGGATACAATGCTTCCCATAACGAAGGAATTGCACAAAAAAAGGAAAATCATGTGACTCACTACAGAACAGAAAATTCTGGATGTATTATTTCTCTATTTTAAAGCTTTTTTTCCCCTCACACGCCTAAAATACATTTTTAAAAGATGGAGCTGTTTAGGAAATGAAAGCAGCCTATCATCTCTGCTGGTGAGCGCTGAGATCTTCAAACACCGTGTACTAAATACCACGAGTCAAAACTTGCTTCATTCATTTCAAGCCCAGCTTCTGGGAAACACGGAAGCAGCCAAGTGCATCTTGACAAGGTTCTCGAGACAGCCCAGGCTGACGGTCGAGCTGTGAGGCTGTGGTTAACAGCGGCTCCAACAGCTCTCCTCCAAGCACAGCATACCCACGCTCCTAATGTTTTGAAGTTGTTGTTAATTATGCAGTTGGAGAGAGCAAATGTCACTTCCCAAAGGAAAAACGCGATCTTTCAAAATAACACAGAAACTGCCACTCTTCATAATCTTAGTACTTCAACAAAACTATTACTGGAGCACAGAAATTTTTATCTTTTTATCCACTAACTAAAAATAGATTAAAATATCACCGAAACAAATTGAAATAGGAAGATCGATAGCCAGAAAAATAACATCACGATCCTGTATCTGTCTTGATTACTGTTCTGATGGACAGAATAGAAAGAACAAATTATTCTCAGGAAAGGATTGTGAGTTGGGAAAATACAAAAAAAACAAAGAAAACCTTTGTTTTTTTTTATACCCTCATTAATATCCATTCCTGATGGAAGAAAAGCTATATGGAAGGATCCATTTTTGGCCCGTGAGCATCAACGAGCGCCGGGCTCGCAGGGCCTGTCCATGTGGCCTCGCACCCTGCCCGGCTGTGGCCCTGGGTCCGGCTCTCGGCAAGATCTCCGGCCACCACCGAAATGAGCAACTATAGCTCATTTGTTCATGACAACCCTTTTTCACTCCAGATATACAAAAGACAATGGAAAGCGTTCAAATATATTTCAGTTTACCAAAGTTTGTGAGAATTAAAATAAGCAAATTCTGTATGATGCACTTAATCTCTTTGAAGATTCCTATGTACTTTGTAGGATAATGTATTTTTGATAATATAATCTAAACATTTATATAAGGGAATTTTCCCCCTTTTGAAGTGTAACAATACTTTGATGTTCTGTTAATATATTCTTATACTAGACAGTAGAGATGGAAAATGAAAACTGTATGGTATATTCTTGTTCTATAAGACTATAAGAAAATAGCCTATTTCATAAAAATAATAAGAAAGCAACTATAGGTTAAAATGTCAAATTACCCAAACTTCTAGGCCCAATAAAATGACTCCATTCCAAGGACACAAGTAACAGTAGGAAACAATACAAACCGTCACACCTTATAAAAGCACAGCTGCATATACAAGCTGGAGAGAAATGCACACAAAATAAACCGTGTCCCTTGTAGAGTTAGGATGCACTACACTGAGTTATCAAAAAAGGCAAGAATAATTCAATGAACAGAATTGCATCTGCTATCAGCATAATAACAATTAATTTGCCGAATCAGAGAATAACAATTCAATGGCTTAGAACCAAATAGTGCCCTCACTTGAACAGTATAACCTATTAAAAAAAGGAATGGGCCTGTCCTTAGTGCATCAGATTCTTTCAATAACATGCTTTCATCTTAGGTTATTAAAAAAAATAGATTTATATTTTGAGTTTATTCTCATTTTTCAGGGTGGGAGAAAGAAAACTAAAATACATTGAAGTTCAGCAATTTGACCATGATGATGCAACAAAAGTGTCTGGAGGTTGGACTAGATGATCTCCAGAGGTCCCTTCCAACCTAAACCATTCTGTGATTCTGTGTCACATACCCAAGTTTCTTGGCTCTTGATTCTCTGCTCTGTTATCCTTCTAGTAACCTAGTAACACAAATTATGCAAGAAAAGAAAAAGTCTGTGAAAGAAAACCTTGCAAGAATGAAGGGATGACTTTTCATCTCAGTGTCTAGTGAACATTTCTGACTATTTCAGTGATCTCCTACAAAACCAAGAACTGCTTTCTTCGTGAAAAATGTCATTCATCAGAACCATACAGACAAGCATCCGTAACATTTAGCAGTATTCTCCTCAAATGAAGGGTTGCTTCAATTTCTTTATCAGATTTTTCATGTGTATGTATTCATGCTACAGGTGTGAGTACCTAAGGTGAACTACTGCTCTTAGAAGTAAACCCTTCAATTTAGATTTTAGGAAAAATTTATCCTAGCATGATTTAGGACAGGACAGGACAGGACAGGACAGGAAGCATCCTCTGCTGTCCTGGAATAGCCTACATTGTCACTAATAAATGGTTAATTCCACTCTTAACTTGGAGACCTTCTCCCCCTCCAAGAAAGAGAGTACAGTAAGCATAAATTTTCATAAGCTTCTCCCACTTTAGAATCCTATTTGCAAAAGGCAGAACAGCTATAGCTCAAATAACTCTTTATTATCAAATACCTCACCAAATAGGAAAAATGTGTTAAGTCTGAATAATTTTTGTAAATAATTTCAGCATCATGATCTGAAAAAACAGTAAAATCCCAATATATATACTTTTTGATACAGTCATCCAATTGAATACTCTACAACATAAATATCAAAAACTTTCTCCTTCTTATCATTGTTATTGGGAGTAATTGCTCTTGTAGTTACAATGTATGGCCAGTTTTACATGAAAATGCATGTTTTTCATCTTCATAAGGAAATACAATCAAGTTCTAAACAATGCAAGAGACCAAATGAAAATAAAATAATAGTGCAGCAGTGATTTCATCTGCAGTAGAGATGCTAATTATAGTACTTGTCTTCTGCCATTCACCTATTAACATATTGAACTTAAATTTAGTTAACAAATGCTGAGACCCCAAGAGTTCACTCTCAGTGACAACAGAAATATCTTGTTGAATGCAGCATACATAGTTCTAATATTGTGGTATCCAGTAACATCATTACTATTAAAATACTAATATGGACATTGCTTGTGATGTCCTCAGTAACGGCAGAAATCCTTAATATTTACCTAGTATAAAAATGATTATGATTATACTGAAGCATAACTATGCTAAAACTTGCTTTTGTGCAAAAGCTATTTTCTTAAAGTAAATTAAATAAGAAAATACATACCCAAGTCTTTCTCTAGTTAAATATCCCCTTATCCATCTTTGAACAATTATGATTGGTGAACGGTGCGCTAAAACATGACTGATTTTTGAAATGACATCTTTTACCCGACTTAATGCCTCTTCAGCATTTCCTTCCTGCATGAGTTCAAAGGAAAAAAGTGTTGAACACAAAGTGTCCTAAAATCCATATTTCTATCATACATATTTTTCAAGACATAGATTTAAAAGGGATTATTTTACATTTCACCCCATACATGAAGATCAAAAGGAGAAACAGGCACTTTGATGAAAAGAAAATTTAACCAAGCAGAGTAAATCTTTCTGTCATTATTGAAACTGGACTGGGAATTCATTTCTAAGCAGTATCTTTCTTACATAAAACATACATTGCAACAGTTGTGCGGGACACTAACCTCCTACTCCAGAAAGCTTTCCTGTGAAGTAAAAGGAGAAACCTATCTGCCTTCTCAACTTACAGATAACGCAAAGGTTATATAAACTACTATTTTTATTAGCGAATATAGGACAATGAAAAAAATATTTATTTCATAAAGTTATCAAATACATGCATTTACAGTTATTCTGTAATGAATAACTATAAGGCATTAAAAATGAGAATATTTTTGTTGCATGTATATTCCATATAAAATACAACATAGATTACTTTTCCATAAGGTTTTGCTAATCCTCAAAAGAAGAAAAAGTATTTGTTTCATTTAACAAGAAGTGTAATGTTTCTTCTCAGCTACAGGCTCCAGATTTTTGAAGCTGTTTACACCAAAAAACCCCCAAGGATCTGGCCCAAAACAATGTCTGCCATTTTCAATTGCATAGGAGAACTTCTGGACATTCAGGTGCAGAACACATCAATAAGGAGAATGCGCACCAATAACCATCCGTGAAAGCTACCTGTCTTATCCAAGATCCACTTTTCAGGAATTCTTTCGTGTAGTGCTCTACAATTCTTGTATCAATTTCTCCAGAACCCTGCAGCTTATTTTTGAGTTAGAAAGACTGGAAGTCCATTTTCATGTTTGTACTTTATTCAGTATCTCTCTTATCAGGATAAGCAGAAGCTACACATGTCACTCAACGTAATATGATCACAGAACTTACACTTCTGGTTGGCTTTAATGTCTTGTATTTTCCACTACAAAGAGAAAGCGTGAGCTAAGGGATATTATGCATTCTCTTGTGTGACAATTAACACTGGCTGCATTGTTACTGCAAAACAATTGTGAATAAATGGGGCACTGGTCCGATCCTCAATCTCAATGTCTGTTCTCATCAAATAAGAGGTTGGTGTACCCTCCCTACGAGCAAAAGAGAGACAATAGTCTGACATAACAGGTCAGAAAAGATTCAGACATATCCACGTTTAGAGTAGCTCATATCCAACATTCTGGATCACAGTAGAGTTATTGTGTATTTTGAGGTACTCTTTCACATTATCTTACTCTGGGAAAAGCAAACAACAGACATTTTCATATCATCCAGTGGTAGTGGATTTAGAGACCCTATATCTGCTAAACTAAAAGCAAACTATGGGCCCTTCTATGCACAAGATTTTTCAACCCTTTTTTTACTTCTGTTTTTAAAGCTGAAAGTGAAAATCTAAACAATTATTTCTTTTTAAATCACTGACATCTTTCAAACTCTACAGATAGAATAATGACTGATTACTAACAGGCCCTCGATATTATCTCCCTGTGCAACAGGAGAGATTTTTCAAAAGGAATCCGAGTAAAATTAAATAAAGTGTTGCTATCCACAAAACACAGGCAGAAATTTAAAAAAAACTATTTAAGTGTTTTTATGTGGCGTCTTTCCTATCCTTAGCCACCAAGGCAGCAATCAGTTTAAAACAGTATATGAAAAAAAAATGTTCTAATAGCAAAAGGTAATGCGAGATCCTGTCTGTATTTAAGTTATGGATTTTGATTAACACTTGGAATTAAAAAAAAATCACTTCACCATGAAACATCTTCACGCACCCAGTTTTGATGAAAGATCTACCATATACCCACTGGCCTAGAAAAATGGAAAATACTCTGCAATAACTACTAGGCTCAGAGAATGGCTAGAGGTAGGAGAATGAATTTTTCTTTATCTGCTTTCAGGCAAAAGACCTCCCCAAGATTCCCCAAGGACAAAGTAACAAAAATGACAACGAAAATGTTTAGAAAGGACTCGCAACGAGAATAAACGGGGACTTTTTACAAAGACAAATGGAGGCCTTGAATATACAGGAAAATAAATTAGTACCGTTTTGTAGTCTTTAGTTCAGCTGTAGATCTAGCCAAGATGACAAAAGGTGTGCTGAAAGACTTCTATACAAAACAGACGAGGAAATGTACAGGAAGATGCTGGACAACATGGTGCAGAGTGGGAAGGAAACCCAGGAAGGCAATATAATACAGGCTTCTTATTTGTCTATACCTGTTTATTTATTGCCCTATTAAGCAAGTAGAAATGAGGTTTTAAGCCAGGTTTCTAAAACTTACCTTTGTGTGCCAGTCAGCCCCAGAGCCAGAGAAATGCCCTAGCCTATTTAACTTGCAAGCATGAAGACAGCCTGGAGAAATCGCAGGACAAAGCCGTGGAGGAGCCTAGGCGGATTTCACCAAGCTCACAGCATCGGCCCCGCCAGGACGGCTCCCCGGCTGCTCCCCCGGCCCCTGTGCGGGCAGATTGCTCTAAGCACACGCAGTAAAGCGCTAACCACTTTTTTGTGCCTAAAAGGAGGCCACATGACTAGAGCCCAGCACGACGGTTTTGCAGATCATTCAAACTGGGAAGCTAAATTAGTTTGGACATGTACAAAAAGGTCAAATATGATGTCATATCTTTTTAATGAAAGGATGTACCAAACAGTACAAACACAGAGGAAGAAAGCATTGGGAACTTTAGCATCTGAATATTTCCAGTTAGGCATTCTTTTCAATACAGACACGTTTCATTCTGAAAAAAAGATACCATACGCTTTCACTACCTCACGTTAAAAACATTATGCAGCAACCGTCAAACAAACACTTTCAGTAATGATCCCTAATCATAATACAGTTCAATAAAATATTGCATTAATGAAGCTCTAATCAAACAAGAGCCATGCAATTAGAAAAAACATCCCCACAACTCAACCTTTTACAAAACTAGCTGCTGTGAGATGGCTTACCTTTCTAGCAACGGGGCAGAAATCAAGGCAAAGATAATGGCAAAATGCTGTATGTTTTTCAGGAAGTTTCCATCCCTCAACAATGTCCTCATCAGAAATTGCATAGTAATCTCATGCTTTGAGAGAGAAAATGCCGTTAAAAACACTACGCCTATAGGCTATTTTCAGGCTCAGTGGAGTGTCAAACAAGGTGAGGCCTATCAGATTAGGACAGCAAGATAATGCATGCGCATTATCCAGTTTTCCAGTTCCATTATTGTGAAGATAGAGTAGATTTAATTCCTTCATGCCTTCCCAAAACACTGCACCTGGTAGATGCTGTACCTGAAATAATGATGAAAATTCATCCTTCAGAAAAATGTATCCTTTAAACACCTAAGATGATAAAACATCATATACCGGCCAGCTCAGTACTGGAATAAACAGAAGCAAATTTACTGACTAGACAAGGGCTAGGGCTGAATCTGGCCTCCCTTACTGCATGATGACCATACTAGACATATAACTCTGATGTCACTGTAACTACGAAAGATAACGTGCTCTTTTGAGTGATTCATTACAATGTCATCTTTTTACACATCTGACAAAAGTGAAGTTACTGCAAATCATTCGTGAGACTGGAATTTCGGATGAAGTTCTTCTAAATAGGATTGCAGTATTTTTCTTTTTCTGGTTTGTGCCATCTGATGTCCAGCACATAAAACTCAGAAGGACAAATCTGAAACTGCAGATTAAAGTTTAACTTTTGTTCCATGAACTGCATGAACTGAAAGGGTGATCGGTGGTGAGATTCCCACTGAATTAAAAAAAAAATCTGTACTTTTATCATATCTTTAAGAAAAGCAATGCATTAAAACTGAGAACCGGAAAATATATTCCAAGTATCTACCAAAAAAGTTCAGAGTAAGTTCAGGGATAGGTGAAGCAGCAGACGACCTTCTGTTTTAAGTATTTAAAACCAGACAGATGAAGCACTTCAACACACAGTGAGAACAATACATCATCACTAGGTTACAATATATAAACTGTCATATAGACTTTTCCTATTTCCTATTTATGTGATTTAAAACATGTACAAAATACTGGGGAGAAGTTATTTCATCATTTGTCTGTACAGCAAAAAAAATCTATTTCAAACTATAGCTCTTCAGCCAAATCCTATATCCATTTGAATGCCGAAAGGCCTTTGTGAACTCACCTATAACTAACTGATGATGCAATCATCACCATTTCCATTTAGTTATAAAAGTGAAGGGAGACCCCAAAAACCGAAACTCCCTTGTATAAAATGCTTTTTTAACAAACAGCAGGGTAGTCATGGGAAAAATGCTTGTCTCATTCTCACCAATGGCAAAACTCCCATTTAATTGTGTGAAGCAAAATTGCAACTCCCAGTTCTTAGTAAAAATGGAATATATTAAATCAGAAGAGCCTCCTCCATAAATAAATCATACTTCATTCAACATATATATTACTCCCAAGGAATACAAATACACAAGTTTAAAGACAAATTAACATAGCTTTTGCTTCTTCATCAACTGTTCTTACTTACCCGATTTCCATGGAGATCCAGTTCCACTAAATGAGGACAACACACAAGTGAATCAATATTCTTCATGAAATCATTTGACAAGATGCATATTTTAAGTGAAAAACAATATTGCAGATGTTCCACATTCTTTAGATACAGCCCATCTAACTGAACTATGACCAGTTGTCTTCCAGCTGTTTTCCAAGACTTTCATCAATAGTTTGTCCACATTCGAGTATCATATTTTTTGAAGTAGGGACAAGATACTCGGTCAACCTCTTCATGATGAGTTATCTGCTCTGATCCACCACTCAGAAATCTAGGAAAAGAAGAAAAAAAGACTACATTACAGGCTATGTGTATTCAGCTTTAAAAACAGTATTTCAGATTAAAAAGTAAATATCCAGATATGTGCCACGATACTTCTTATGAAACATCATATGAAACACAGGGTAGAAAAAAAGCTGGTGTGACTAACCGTTTAAGTAAGAAATACTGTTGTGCTAACGTTATACTCTGTACAACACATTGCATCCCAAAGCGTCACGGAAAGTACTTTGCTAACTCTTGGCTTGACTGCACAACACTTGCAGTTTACTTACTCAGGCAGACGTTCATACGTAGAGTTGGTTTGTAATCCACCTAGGGCTGCCGCCCAGGCTGCACCTGCGGTTGGCTACACCAGCCCAGGCTGGCAGTGCCGGCGGGGAGGGGAGGCAGCTGGTACCAGCACACCGCAAGGACCTCTGCGATCTCTGCCACCGGGCAACCACAGCTCCTGCAGAAAAACGCACATTTCAGATTTACGATTCAGTTAAAATATTAGCGCAGTTTTGCTCTTACAAAACCTTTACTAAGCAGAAATAGGGAACACCTCTGCTTCTGTCACTCAGACAAAACGTTCCCGGGGCAGCATGCTGCCTCGGCCACTAAGTCTAACGAATCACCGACGTTATGTTACATTTGAGATTCCAGGGGACAAAGCAGTCTAGTATTGATGATAATCTGTTATTTCCTGGAATCAAGTATGAGGTTAACTGATTATAAAATATTACTATTAAAAGCAGGAATAACCATCCACCTGAAATTAAAGCATTAAAAAGAGAAATTATTACCATGAGTAGTTTGATTCAGTCATTATTCTAGACTTGAATGATCTTAGCGCAAGCAGAAATGTACATACAAGTTTAAATAATGTCTTAAAGCTAAAAACAAATCTTTGGTTGAACTGAGCAATACTTATTTGCGGTAGGGTCCCAGTTACAGCCCCAACAGCTTGCTGCAGTTAAAAAGGAATTGTTTTCAGAAAACCATTCATTACTTTGTCTCTTCAGTAGTTTCCTAGATTACCTGTAAACTAGCATACATTGTAAATCAAACTGTGCAGACTGTCCCTCCCGAGCAGGAGGCGTGTGAGCTGTAAGAGGTACCCCTCCCGAGCTGTATCTGCTGTACACCAAGACTGACAACAGGAAGCGCTCGCAGACCGCTCCGCCCGGCCGGGAAGGGGGCTTC